CTTCATGTTCTGTCATGTGCTTTTCTCTATTATTTTTAGTTATTTTTTCTTGGAAAATATTATATGAAATGATATTAGCTCAATGTATAATGAGTAAAACTAATAAATTCATAATTCTTATGCAAAATACTTTTTTTTTCATATTATGTGTTTTTTTTTCTATTGTTTTTAACTAAATAAAAATTAATCAAATATTGAATATTATATATAACTAAAAGTAAAAATATGTAAAAATCAACTATTATTATTATTATTTGAATATAATTTTCTCATTTGTATTATATTCTCGTATATTAGAGAACTTATTGTTAATCATTTACTTATTTCATGAGTGATTAAAAAATATAAAAGTAATTATTTGATGATAGTAACAAACTAAAAAAATGGTTATGACAAAATATTTCGCAAAATATTAGTTGCTGATGTATTATTTTTTAAACAAAAAACTTAAAAAATATTTTTTATGTTTATATTCATAGAGTATGTAAATCTAATTTATATAATGCATTAATAAGTTCTTGCAATGTATGCGCTATTTGCTTGATAAAAGAAAAACACATCTATTCAGAATTCACATGTTCTATAATTTTAATTTATGGCCATTGATTTTTCGTTATTTGAAATTCCATTGTTATTTTGTATACTCTTGAAAATATGCCATACACAAGGTATACCGTATACCTTAAGCACATAAATTTATTGTTGAAAAAAATCATTTGTTCCTTTAGCAATATGACTTCACTTGTAACATATAATTCACAATTTTAGTACATATCATTGACATTAAAGATTCATATTTTATTATTGAAATTTATTTTTTGTGGAATATTTATATTACGCTCATACTTTTTATCCTTTTACTTTATAATTGAATATTTAGATTTAAGAAACATTAATACCCTTTTTATTATTTTTATATACAAAATCAAATTTGTGTGTTTGTTTGTTTATAATTTTTATATATGAATTTATAATAACTATGTTTCTTATGTTTGAATATTTCGTCTATGTTCATAATTTCGTGTGCAAAATACATTTTTTAGTTCTTCTTGTGCTTTTCTATGTTGCTTTTAGTTGTTTTCAGTAACGAGCCATTAGTTTGGATCACTCGAGCCATATTTGGCAAATATTGTATCACGTGCATAAAACTCACGAGCATTCAGAAGTGGAGTAATATGTAGTTTTCTCAAAGTATTAGGAGCAAAAGTTTAAAAACATAAAATACCTATACAAAGAAAAATGGATTGCTAGTACACACCATAGATATTNTGGAAAACAATATTTGAAGGATAATGTGATAAAGGGCCTTCGAACCACATATGCTTTATAGTCCACGAGCCACACAAACAAACTCAAGCTTATGCTTTTTGTTTTTATCTTAGCTTTCTTTTCAAACTTATAAATGAGTTTGTTTTTATCTCTTGAGGGTGTCATCAAGACAACGATGGTGTGCTCCAGGGCGAAATAGAACTCTTAACGGCGGGAAGCGTAGGCATTATACTATAAAATAAATTCAGAGGGGGCAATATTATAACATAATTTTAAAATGACAATAAAATAAATAAAAAATATCTATTACAATTGGTCACGACCAGAAGACAGTTGAAAACATTACATAATAGTTTCATTGGTGATTTTATCAAATATATTTCTCCCCATATACGGAACCAAACAAGCGTTAAGTTAATTATTTCTATTCGGTTGCGTAGTCAACTTTTTATGATCTTCATTGTAGGAAATGCCCTCTCCACAGTCAAACAAAATTAATGCTAAAGTAATAAGCATATAGACCAGCGGATATACCACATGCCTTCTATTTTCCACCATTTTAATAATAAGTAAGTTCTGCTATACCATCAACCGCAGAAAATTCACTGCTCGTACGCATATCGATAAGATAATTCACAAATTGATTATCAAGTTCCCTTTCCGTTTAGTTGTGCGTGTTGTTTAGTGTTTGTGGTTTGTTTTGTGTTTTAATTGTTGTGTTGTTGTCTTTTCTCCTGTTCGAGAGCGTGTTTTTCTCCTGTTGGTAGCGTGATATTCTCTTGTTGGGAGGTGTATAATTTGTTGTGTTGTGGATGCGTTAGTGTAGTTGCTTTTACGCTACCTCCGCATAGCCTAGATTTTTTTTTTTTCTCCGGAAGTATAGCCTGGATTTAGTTCAACTATTTGGCNATTCCAAAAAAAAAAAAAAATTGTCAAGACACTAGGATCACCTCATAAAGTCACTTTACATCTCGCCAATCATCTTGTTGTGTAGACTGTAGCCTACTATCCGCACCACCCAATGCCAAGTGTTGTCCATAATACCCTCCAAAAACGAGGAATAGAATGTTAAGCAATAAATTAGAAGATGGAGGAGTTATGGAAAAAGAAAATATATTACGCAGCAGGAAATATTACCACGTTTTAAATACACAGAGGATACGAAATCACAATGTTGTCATAATCAAGCTTCACAATGGGAAACATTAAATACATTATACATCTCATATTGTCACACACACAGAGAAAGAGAAGAAAAGGTCAGCCCTGTAATTAAAGCACCAGGCGCAATCCATCAGCGTGCCAAAATATGCAGCTTCACTTTCCAGCTCTGAGATTAAAAAGAATAGACATCATCATCAATTACCGAATACAAAAGGAGGAGGAAAAATAGTAACATCTATTTCTCATTTACCTTCAACTGTTCACTTGATTATACTATGTTCTGCAACACATTCTTGAAAGCTGAATCAGTTCAAAACACCCAAACCACAATCGCGTCTGTCTTTCCAGCCCAGTCATCAAAGGAAAATCGGCCAGCTTATCATTTCATGCTTCGCAACTAAATTGTCCAAATAATTGAACATAATTGAATTCTAGAGTCAGCAACAAGCAGCAATGTCAGAATCAAGCACGAACAGTACATTGCAACAGAGCATCCACACTACGAATAAATGCACGATGGGATGGCCATACTATGTTTTACCAAAAAATAATAATAAGAATAATAATAACAATTATTTAGGTATCACCCACAAGAAACCAAAGCTAAATAGACGCAGAACTGCGAATTGCATTCAGTAGTCTATCGGTCTATCCGAGCAAAATTGTGATTTACACTTTGATATGATAGTTCATTATACAAAAAGTGTCTTCTTTTCATTATGCTTCTTCACAAACAACCGTTCCATCGTCCCAAACTACCCTCTATTTACTCATAAGAAAGTCGAAACTTGAAATAATTTGAGGAAACAAAAAAAAGCCAAAAAGAATTATTGTTCCAGGATTCCCAGGCATTACTTCCCTTTTACGTCATCTTCCCAACCTCTGGTTAATCTCATATTTCTTCCACCTGCTTCTTCCGGCAATTTAAGCGCCTTTTTAACCAGCTATACATCTGACTGCTATAACAGCAAAATTACTATTTTCCACTTTGCCAGACCTTGAGAAGGATAAAAAACAATCCCGAGCAGCCATACACGTCCCACATAAGATGAAATATCCGAATCTCTAGTTGATACCAGATTAGAAACCGGACCTCGGAGGAAAGTTAGCCTGTTGTTGTGATCTGTAAGGTCTCCCGTTATTGAATTGTCTGCCGTCAGGCGGTGGAGGGCCAAGAATCCCAGTGGAGCTTGGCTCAGGTATCCATGGACCATTGTTGGAAGGTCTTTGGTAAGAATGCTGATGATGAGAGGTATCAGACTCGGCTCTTTTTCTCCTTTTCCAAGCTTCGAATTTCTCCACGTCAAGATCCCTGTGCATAAAAGGTGGTACCGAACCATTAATGTGGGAGGGCCCCATGCTGGATGCCGGTTGTTCCTGTTTGAGTTTAGAATAAATTTGTTGGAGCCTCTCTCCGGACAAATTTGAAAAGGTGGATACATAATTCCATAATCTTGTTGTCATCCCTGCAAAATAATGAATATTATATGGATTGGAAACTATTTCGCCCAAAGGATAAGGTAGGTATAAGAAATGATTTTTTGTTCATCCTTCTCTGTTTAACAATCCACTACTGCCCCCATCTTAAAAGTAGACCATTTTTTATTCCCCAGTCTTCACAGATTGAGAACTACATTTAGTACAATTCATAAAATAGAACAAATCCAACATTCATATCTATACGCTTATTTAACACTGAACCTTGTATTTGATCAACTACTTTTAAAGATGAAATTACCTCCATGATATGGGTACTACTACAATAAATGCCTCGATGTTAAGTAATTATTATATATTATTATATTACTAAAATTCGCTTCGTTACTGAAACTAATAAGCTCATTCTACCCATCCAATAATCCAGTCTGTGTGAATGCATAAATCTAGTGAGAAAATGCAAGAGGGCAAAACACGAGTGAGAATGACATTACATACTTTCTTGCCTATAAGAGTCCTGCTGATACTCTGAAACAACCTGGTCAACCCTGCGACCAATAAGCTGCAAGTAATTCCGAATCTTGGAAAGCACCTTCTCCTTCGGCAGGTCGGCACTAGTGGACTGCAGCTTCTGAAGACGCTTTAGAGTCTTTTCCTCATCCATCATGACATCTTCACACCACTCCATCCACTTAACCTCCTTGAACTGCTCGTAAACTTCTTCATTATCAGACATTTCACCTTCCTCTTTCACTAAAGGCTCGGCCTTCTGTGATTTTGGAGCTCTTCTTTTATTTGTCTGAACATTTGCACCAGGAGAACCAGGTTTTCCCTGTCTACCTTTTCCACGTAATGGTGCTGTTTCTTTCTGTCTCTTTGCATTCTTGCGGCCCGCTTTCACAGTTGGATTCTTCGCCCCAACAGCAACAACTTCCTGAAAAATATATTATGCAGGGGTAAAAAAGAAATAGATGAGCCATCATACTTGGGGTGTTCCAAGATAAAATATGAAGACATCTCTAAGCCCAATGAAATTCAACATAGTGAAAAAGAAGGGAAAGAGATAATAATTAGGTCCATTATTATCTTTCAGTAAACAAAAAGCTTCTGGACTACAAACTAGGTTATCTCTAGATACATAATTGCGATATCTTCAATATGCATGAAGGGAGGTGGTAAGATGCTCAAGAGTTCACACCAATGACCCAAAAAGTTAAATAAAATCAGAGATGCATATTCCTACTGCGGAAGAAATACTGATTAAAATGATACTAGTCAAACCACTAAAATATTATCCCAAATATATTATAGTGCTAAAAATTGTAAATTGCAGTAGTCATATCACTTATAAATTATCCTAAATATATGGTCCTAACAAGCAACTAGGGATAATTAATGGATTTCACAATTCACGCCAGATGAAATAATTGCTTCTGCTCCCAGCATCAGAAAAGACCTCTTAAGTATTTATTACAATTATCTCGATACAAGTTAAATGCATTCTATACTGTAGTAACGATAAAATGCTTAGCCTAACACTTGTGCATCTCAGAAAAGTACGTCTGTAGTAACGAATTGAGTAAATCGGACAATGTCCTTGTCTAATATTAATATACCCCTACTCCAGCCAAAGCATAAGTTAATTATAAATAAAACATCAAGTTTCAAGTTCATGGATGAAATACTTCATTAATGATACAAATGATACATTCATCAAGTTTCAAGTTACTTCATGAATGATACAAATGATACATTCAGCCTACCGTTTCCAAAAGCTGTGAAGCTCGTTCTTTCAGTTGGGGGGCCCGCGGTAAGAAAGTTTCATGATGCTGAAGTTCCACAGGAGCAATCTTCTTAGTAAGACCAAGTTTTTCATCTAACCTTATCTTTTCCCAATTTCCAAATCCATGATAGTGAATTCCAAGCAGCAACCTTGCATCATCCTCTGATGACATCCAAGTAAAGAAAAAAAAAAAAAAGAACCATTTGATCAATAATAGCAACACAAGCGCATTAATATTTTGGTCAAACATCACAATTCCCCAGCCCCATGCAGGAATTAAATCAAAACAATTGCACATGAAAGGAAAAGTATCACTTACTTTGGTTCCAACCACAACCTTTAGACCATGTTGATGGCTTGATATAAGCAAGTGCTCTGAATTGAGAGATGGGATCTTCATATCGAATAATCCGTTTGCCAAGGAGCTGAAGTTCTTCAACACGACTTAACAGGTCATCAGCCTTTACAGGCACACCAAAGAAATCCAACAGTGGACCCTGAAGAGTAGTAATAAAAATTTTCAGCTGTGCCACAAATTAAGACCATTTTTGACTAAAAATTATATAACACTAACTAACGAGTTTCCAGAAAATCAAAGCAACAAACCTTTGGATCCATTGTATCCCCTTTAACTGCTTCTTTACAACCATCTATTAAAGCGTCATAGAGCTCGATTTGTGCTTCAGTTGGAGCAGCTTCAACAACTCCACCAACTTCAGCAGCTATCAAGCTTATCTGGCTATCATTTCCAAACTTCTTGACCTAATTTAGGAAAGTATCAGTAGGATAACTATCTCAACCAGAAACAAATAAGGTAGTAACTAAGCTGAGGCTAGAACTTAAGCTCCCAATATCTAAAGAAGTAGTTCCTAGAGAAACTTATTAATGGCTAGAGCTAAACTGAGGTGTATTGGCCTTATATAGTTACATCAATAAATTTTCTCTGTATCGAGTCCATAGGGTATCAGGATAATACATTTAGGTAATAATCTTTTATTCTAATTTCTTCTTTGAAGATTCCAATCCCTTCATCCAGTAGAACTAATCATTCTCAATAGTTGCTGATATCCTCCTTATTTTGCTAAGACCCTTATGCAGTAGGATATCGTTCGCTTTTTTCTTTCTTGTCAAAGAGCACATGTAAGGGGAGGGCAATACGCAAAACTTTGGATTACAGGCTCACTGTCAGTATATATCTCTATCACCAAAAAGATCTTTCTTATGGCGATATACATGTTGCAATAAACTGCTTCTTTGAACAAAACTGATGTCACAATCTTTTAGAGAGAAAAGGTAACCTAAAAAATTTAGAATATAAATATGATTAAGATGAACTTCTAAATGTTAATCCAAAAAAGTTAAGTCATCATGTACAAGATATACCAAGAAAGTTAGTCATAATGTTTCATCCTTTTCTGATGCTATATGACGTACAGAAGTTCAAATTAACTAGCACATTTTATCATCCACTATCCTAGGACCTCTCTCTTGGCCAGTCAAGAACATGAACTCCAACGTAAACAGATAATAAACTAAGAAAGAACATTTGGGATGAACGATGATTGAATCCTTGGTGAAACTCTCAGAAGCCATAGTAGAAGTCCTAAATTACTATTCTTGCATATACTAAATAGCTTCATATCGCTCTCCAACCCATGCTAGGATTTACAAACAATGAAGTCAAAATTATGCTTAATCTTCAGTCAAATAAAAATGACAGAAAACTTGCAATTGATATGTTAAAAGATTTTAAGCATGGTACTTAAACAAATACATCTTTGACTTTAAAAAATGGATGGCTTATCTAAAGTTCAACGGAAGTGACTTTACCGCACGAAAAAACCGAGTTGCATCTCTTTTTGGTAAGTTCCCGTAAGACCATCCTCTGACTTGAGCAGTAGCACCCTCAATCACAGGAACAGAGTACCCAGTATCTGCTCTCCTTCTCTTTGAAAGTCTATCCTGAGGTTCAGCGCCTTTTTTCTTCCTTTTATTAATCTTCTCGGGTGGTAAGGCCTCTGCGTAACTTTTTATGTTTCTCGCAGCCCGGGGGGCCAAAGCATCCTAGAGAAATAAAGGGATAGGTAAAAGATCTTAGCACATTATACTACCCTTAAGAGAACATGAATTCGTCAGTAAATTGCATACCTCTGCTTGTGCAACAGCTTCAGGCTTAATCATCCGGCTCCAAAAAGTTCCATCGTCTTCAGCACTGCAGAAATTGGCCACCTGCATATGATGAGAAAAGAAGATTTCAGATCACACTGGCAGCAATTAGAAATGAAATACCACAAGCATCAGATAATGAAAAGTGTCGACACCAAACTAGTAAAAACAAAATCCAGCAGGCAAATAAAGGGTGATGAGGTGTTCTCTCCCCAACATACCAGTATTGTAACATAGGCGATATAAGTAAACACTTGAAAAGGCAGTGTCACTCCTATTACTCAACAAAAGTCATGCTATCTGACCTTAAAAGCACTCAACAATTCATGACCATTCTCTCCTTCAGTTACTTTGTCTTCAACCTTTTCTGCTCTTTCAAGAATCTCATCAATATCCATACTGAGGAGCCTTTTCTTGCTCTCCTCGTCATTTTTCTCTTCCTTGAAGAGTTCTTCTGCCCCAAATCTCAAAATTGCTGAAAGTTCATTCTACATAACAAAAGCAAAAGGTTAAAAACACACGTATAGGTATCTAGAGTAGAGAAATATAGACAAACTATTCCATATGGAATAACTAGCAGAGGACGTAGACACTGGCAATATGTATAGCAGCATAGTAAGAAGTGGTTCTTCATATACACTTACTTTATCAAAAGAACTTCCTTTCTTAGATTCCTTTTTCTCCAATCTGCCCTCAGCATTCAATTTTTGAATAACTAAATGGTCCAGAACCTACATCGATCAACAAAATGTGAAAATCAGAATTATCACCATCTTCAAATGAAAACTACAACACATATCCAAACATCATGAGGATACATGGAGAGAAATTTCAGATTTATTAACTCCATAACAGATAAAAGATCTACTATCCAAGATATGAAGACGGAAATAAAATTCCGACAATGGTTGTGCATGAAAAGAAAAATAATATAAAAGCACGCATTTCCATTATCTTCACCGTAAAGCATACCATTTTCTTCTTAGCCCGCTCCAAGATATCTTCCTCAACGCTCTTGCTAGTGACAAATCGATAAATATTAACTACTTCTTGCTGGCCAATTCTGTGAGCTCGGCTCATTGCCTTGTTTCCAGAAAGTACATAAAAAACAAGCCACTTAACAGTGACACTATGTTACAGATTTTAAGGAGCCCTAAGAAGGGAATAATAATTATATGCTGCAAACCTGTAAATCATTTTGTGGATTCCAATCCGAATCAAATATAATAACGGTGTCTGCAGTTGCAAGATTAATACCCAAGCCACCAGCACGAGTGGAAAGAAGAAAACAGAAATCCTCACTACCAGGGGCATTAAAGTGATCCATAGCCTGCTGGCGTAACTCGGCTTTAGTGCTACCATCAAGTCTCTGAAATTGGAACCCTTTCAGAGACAGATATTCTGCCAGCAAATCTAACATTCTAACCATCTGTGATCATATAAAAACTAATTAATTTTATGATATACTCAAACAAAATGCAAGCAACAATGGCATGTCCTCGACAAAGTTCAAGTGACATGATAAAAGTTCAATGTTTTCTCTATCAAGTTTCAATGGAACTTTATTGGCAGGCAACACAAAGTTAAGGTCACAATGGTAAGATATTGAAACTAAATTGAAAAATAAGTATATAGCAGTGATTAAAAAGGCTTGAGGCGACCTAAGGCCACAAGCCTGATATTTGCCTTGGCGTGAGGCGAAGCAATAGCAAACCTAACGATTTATAGACAAAGCATGATTTATATGTACTTTAGTTGAAAATTGAAAACAAAATCAGTCCTAAACAAGAATTCTTTCACAAATATATATAGTGCTTTCAATTTTGACTCCAGCCACCCTTTTTTACCAACATACTCACAACAGTAAATTGTAAAAATAAAATAATGAAAGAAGTGGTGGAAAACGAGCTAAAGATTCTTGCAGAAATCAAAACTAAACTACTAGCAGCAAGTCTGACAATGTCCAAAATCGATGAGAATAGATTGCAGGCAGAATTTGAGAAGGAAAAGGAAAGAAAGGAAGACAAAAGGAGAAAAGGAAATGTCGGAACTCTGTGAGTCACAATCGTGTTAATAGCTTGGTTGAAGGAAACACATAATCCAATTTATGGTTTGGTTGGGACAAAGATGAGTTATTGAGATGCACGTTGCACACTCCTGTAAATTGAAACCTAAAATTAGGGCTTGGGTGCCTTGACTAGTGCGAGGCGAGCGCCTCGCTGAGGTGTTGCCATATGTGAGCAGTGTTGTCAATTTCTTATGGCGGAAAATGGCTGCAGGCTGAAATCCACCCATAGCCGCCATCCTTCAAAATTTTCTAACAGCAGGTTTAGCATAAATTTGCTAAGCCATACCTCAATAACCAAAATTTGATAATGCTGCAAGTGAGGCTAGTGCCTCGCGCAAGGGCACCTCGCCACACCTACTCGAGACACCCAAGGGCCTTCTCGTAGCCTCACCTCACGCCATGGCTGTGCCTTTTTAATCACTGGTCTATTGATCAGCTTATAAAGAGGAGCCGGCTCTCGAACATTTCTATACTCTCTTTCTGAAGAGCGACTACCGATAGGTATTTGGGCATGCACTTATCCCTAAAATTCATAATAACCGGACTGAGGATCCAAGAATTGTAAATGGACCAGAGGAGAACTGTTGCTAAGCAAAATAGTAGATTATGAACCCCAATCACCACCTATTGTACAATGTTAATTGCGCTTGACGAAGGTATAAGGGTGATTTTGGAAGTTCATACACTCTCGATGTCTTGTGGTCAACATGAATTCATGAAACACAGGTTAAAGCCTAAGATCCATCAGCAAACCAAAATGACATTTAAAAAATGTTCAGGGTTTGCAACTGCAGTAAACTCCAAGAACTTCCCAATTTCCCCTTTACAACGTAAGGCTAATTAAAATGTATATTACACGAAACAACCCATACAATGTACACTGCACGAAAGTTGAAATAATAACATGTACAAATTTTATCGCTCATCCTAAACTTCTAAAAGGTCTTAAGGGGGTAACTGGATATGGATTCAACTACTTTTTAATTGGATTTTTTTAACCATAGTTAATTTAAAAAAAAANTTGAGTTGGATTGATAAACAATCACCCCCTAACAAATTCATCGTAAGCTTCCAACTATTTGTTTGTAAACATCACATATAGGAAAATAGTGACCTCAAATCTGCAGTAACACACCACCAAACTATCAAAATGGTAAAGGAAATGCAAACCTGAGAAAATATCAACACACGGTGCTTTGTCTCATACAGTCTGTCCAGAAGCTTATCTATTATGACCAACTTCCCGCTGCTTAAAATAATTCGCTCCAATTTAGTGCTACCAAGGAAATTTGTATCCCCACCATAGCCATGGTCTGCGCTTTCAAACAAAAATGGATGATTGCAACATTTCTTCAACTCCACCACTATATTTAAGAGAGAAACCTGCATAATGTTTCAGCCACGTGTAAGATCAAAGTTTCAGTTACTCATTCTTCATCGCGTAGATGAAAGTTGAAACACTAACATAATAATATGAGCCACCTTATCGGGATCTATTAGCTGGCATGCCATACCCAACTAAAGCATTTTGTTACTAACAGAATACAACTACTTTTCCATCCTGACAATAATTCAGTCATTTCACAGTCTAACAGGGCATATTTTGGTTCCTACCAGATTAAAACATAGATAAAATCCTCATCATAATTAACTGCACCAAAATCTACCAAGAAAACTTCAGAAAACAGAAAGAAACCAAACCTGATTGCCACGGACTCCTTTATTCAAATCATGGAAGTTGCGTTCCAAAATCCACTTATAATACCTAAAATATGTACACCAGTATAAAAATGAGAAAATGTAAAAACAATAAACACTCAAGCAGGCACTATTTCAGAATAAAAAACAAACTCACTGTTTCTGGAGTGGTGACATTTCAACCCTTAGGATGCGCTCAATTTTAGGAGGCAAAGATTTCTCTACATCTTTTATGACTCTTCTGAGAATGTGAGGTCTTAACTCCATGTGAAGATTTGTAAGCTACATGAAATGTAAAAATAAAGATTCGCTACTAAACTACGAAAAACACACTTAAAAGAAATAGGAAAAAGGATGAGGACCAGGTTGATACTAACAATGAATGAGTAGTACCTCGATCTCATTGAACGAACTAAGATTCTTGTACCTCTGGACAAAATCATCCTTATTTCTAAACTTCTCGGAATCAAGAAAATGAAGCAAAGCCCTGCAATTAGCATGGTAAATAAGCACAAAAGGTAATGCCAGCAACTTGCAATATGAATGAATACACATATAGAAGTCTATCACACAAGAAATCACTTCAAATATACGAGAATAATACAGCACTGAATAACAAACGAAAGAAAATGAAAAGATGTCTAGGAAAATGCATGCCTTCATAAGATTTGAAATGAACCAAACAGGATGTAATGGCTGCAATAAGCTCAAAGATGGCTAATCTATATCATATCGCCGACAAGTCAGTTGAACAGAACAAAAAAGTAAGTCTAAAAGAAGACTTACTAGAAACAACAAACCCTATGCACAACTAAGACCCCTTCTAAGCATGAAAAAACTTCTCCAGAAATATTATAACCCATATGAAAGTACATCAAATTAAGCTCACGAGTCATGACAGCCAAATTCCACATTTTGACAAAATAAATAATTTCATGATGACATTAACACATCACCATAGCTCTTCAACACTGTTCTGGAGGGGAGTGCCAGTAATTAGCAACTTGTTCTTCGTGCCAAATTCCTGTAAACATAACATAGTGGTAAATCAAAATCCAAGCAACCTAAAACCAAGCTATAGAAGAGCACAAAATGCAACTGAAATGTAATCATACCAGTAACGTTGTATACAATGACGCCTCACTGTTCTTTAACCTATGTGCTTCATCAACCATAAGATAATTCCATTTAATCTTTGAGAGGACAGCCTTGTCCTTCAGTAGTACCTCATACGTAGTCAGAAGAGCGTCAAATTTTGTACTCCGGCCAGCCTTCTTGTCATTATAAAACTCGTACTGCTGGCAGACCTGCAATTAGATTGAGATCACAATATCATGCGAGGGAAAAAACAAGAGTGAGAATGCCAATGTATACTCACAAAAAAGAGCATAACAGAAGAAAAATGAAGCAAGTGACATGCACACTGCTCTCAAACCAGAAGCAGAAAACAACAGATCAACTACCTAACTCAGACAGAAATGGCAATTTTAACTGACCTGGAAAGTGACATTAAGATATAACGTAACATTCTTCTCACTAATTCACTAACCAAAGCATGCACAGATGATAATGCAAGTGAAGCCATGCATCAGACCCGAATGTCAAAATATATCCTGAACTACTGAAGAAAGAGAAAAACGGAAAACAGCAGCTACCTCACGGCTAGCACGAGTTCCAACATATATAACGACGTTCATATCAGGCAACCACTTTCTGAATTCTTTTGCCCAATTCGACAAGGTAGATAGAGGAACAACAACAAGAAATGGTCCTTGAATTTGCTGAGCATTCTGAGGAAGAGATGGCACATTAGTAGCTATCAAAAGACTGGAATATCATCTGAAGATGATTAACACTATAAAGTACCTGCAAGAAACCAAGCATTGAAACTGACTGCACAGTTTTACCAAGACCCATTTCATCAGCTAAAATTACATTGGTATCATTTCTCCAGCTGTGCTGCAAAAGAGCCACTGATCAGAACTGCAGGCTGCTTTGATGGGTATGTAAGAATTGGGCTGATTAAATGAACAAAAAAAAAATGTCAGCTAGAGCATATCCGCTTTGAACCCATACCTGTTAACTAGAAAGTTTAATCCTTCCAGCTGATAATCTCGAAGATTACCCCCTTTCAACCATTCAGGCTGTTCGTCAAGCTTCCTGAGACTTCCTGAGAGCGCAAAGCGACTAGTCAAATAGAAACATGATCTAATATAATTTGTAAGAACGAGCACTAAACAAATATGTAAGATAAAGCAACGGAAATAACAAGGAGAAACTCTTATTTTAAATATATATTTTAACTTCTTGCCTACCTATTAACTCTGCTCAATAAATATATAAACCACAAATGGAGAACTTAAAAGCCCTACAAACATGTATAAACGAAGATATGGACGCAATACAAACCTTTGCTTCTCTTCCGCTGGAAATCGACAGTCTTTCCCTGAACCATTGCTGCAACTTCCCGTGCCTGTTACAATCAGACGAACATGGCGTTAAGCACTCAGGTTATGCATACTTTATCAATTTATCAATTGCGTCCGTGATCACAAATAAAGCAGCAGGGTCCACTTAGATCAGAGGTCATGAATACATGTAACTACAGAACATTTAGTTATTCGAGGCAAACAGTTAAATTCACTATCCAAACTTAGCATCATTATTCACCACAAATCAGCACATTGAATTTTTGGAGGTAAACATTTAAATTCACTATTCCAATCTTAGCATCATTATTCACAAGAAATCAGCAATTATGAATTTACCAATTTATTGAGCTGTCCAAAGTCTTAATGGAAAACGCTCAGGAATTACTCACGCTGTCTCACTTCAGATGTTTACATAACTCAATAGCACCACACTCACACACACACACACACAGACACACACACACACATATATATATATATATATATATATATATATCTATACATATATATATATATATATATTACTCGGGGCTTGTTTACTTTTTAGATAATTTTATCCATTATCCAGCACGTTACTGTTCAAATAATTATATCCTATGGGCAGTTTTGGCAATGGGGATACGATTACAAGCCATATGGGCCCTATCATGTATAACACTTAATAAATTCCTGTGACTTTCCAATTTTCAATATAATGTGCCTTGTTTTGCATTTTGGATACTCATGCCCATGTGGCTTCTTCCCAATCATACATTTTGTTTTGATGTTTAATTCACAGGGAATGAATCACTCTACAAAAAGGTAACTAAGCATGTGTGGGAGGAGAAATGGGCATTATATTTGGTTTTGCATTAAATTGAGAAAGATAAACGGAAATTTTCATGTGCTTGTAAGGGCAAAACTGACTTTTCGCAACAGGGAGTAGCAATAACACATCCATACGCCTGATCCAATTTCCTCAGTTTAAAGGATTTTTACCGGGCCTATTGTAATCAACGGGCTGGTTTAAAAAATCCCAATGTAATGATTGGTAGGGATTACTTGCCTTTACCTCACTATTCCCATCATTTCCAACTTCCTAAAAGTGCCTTATGTTTACAAGCTGTGATAGAGCATTTAAAAAGTGGTTGATTATTTAAATTTAACCTTGTGTTTCTTTGTTGGGACAAAATAATTTTATCCATTTGACCATGCCTTTTCGTTGGGACAAAATAGTAAGGCCCAAAAGGGCTGGACAGATTTGTCACCCACTTTTTTGATAAAAGTACAGCCCAAACGGTCTCAGGATATCTAAGGCTTATATCAACCCAAGTAAACAACATTTATCCATAGATAAATGGAGTTATCCTATACAATAGGAAGAAGTAAACGAGCCCTCAAAGTACTATTCAGAAATAGAAAGATGCAAGTCACAAGATAACCCCAGTGGACACCCTGAAAGTCACCAAACATGCATTGATCAAAAATAGAAATTACAAGAGTGATACCTTGAACTCATCAATAGCATCTTGAGCAAACGAAATATCCGTGTCCTTCTCCCTACAAGGCATAACCAATTATATATCCTATGCTCTAGTTGAAATTAGCAAAAAAGTCAAGCAATTAGATTCCATTCCAGAGCCATGACAGACACCATGGAAAATTGATTTCCTGGATATTTATATATTAACCCAGATATAACCATCTTAGACGAGCACTATCCAACTAAACCATATATAGAGAAACATCAAGATTACCAAGTGGCTTCAGCATAAGACAATCCTTTCCACTTGACCAAATATACTGGCACAACATCACCCATACTATCATTTACGAGTCTCTCAGCTATCACTCTCTCCACCTGAGCATGCATTATCGAGACCCATCAAAAACCAGTTTACCAGGAACATGGATACAAAAGGTCAGCAGACCTCACTTGACAGAGACAGCAATGACAGCTGCCAGAATGACAAACCTGGCTGTTTTGTTTGATGATATCCAGGTCCATTTCCTTACTGACATCATTGACCTCAATCTGATTAAAAAAAGACAAAGGCAGAGATTAAAAATGTGACAAAGAAATTGTGTGCAATAACTACAGAGATGAAATTGCTAACGAAAGTTGACATACAGGCAAAATAAAGTAAATGTAAAAACAAAGTCAACAAACTGGTGACTGTCTAAAATAATAAGAAATTCATTATTTCCCTTCATATTTCAAGTTCAGAAATTTTCAAATATACTTTTGATCGTCAAATATTTGAGTGACAATAATCTCCAAAACCTCAAGAACAACAGGTTGTTTACACGAAGTTCTTTAAGGGTAAATGCAAAAGGCTACATAAGAGACCAAACTAATCATATACAAAGACGAATGCTCATCGTGTTCCAATTCCCAAGAAGAATGATTAAACAGGAGCCACTTCAGGTGAGCCATTTAGAAAAAATATAACATCAGTCAAGAATTACTTTGATGGAACAGATCCACAAACAATTATCTCGATCTCGTAACCACAAAGAGAGATATGAAGATCAGTAACATTTTTTCCAAAACAGAAAATTCACTTTCCAGAATTCAACTTCAAATTTCTTAATAATTGTATGATTCTGCTTGCAATTATAATTGGTGAGTTTGTCATGGGAAGACTCACTCTCCCATTCACTCAGGAGATTGTTTGCATATTGAAAAAAATCCAACGTTAAAGAAACAAGCCTGGTTTAAAACGTCTCCAGAACTTAATCATATACCACTTTGACCTTCAAGAGTAAGCAATAGCCTTCTGCATCACTACAGATCTTATCTATGTTTTGGTGCACATCACATCCTTTATTCCCACATATTATACTGCATAATGCTTACAATGTATTCATGCATACTAGGCAGACACACTACAAAACCTAGCACACATGCTTACATGTTGTCAAACTAGAATTTCAATACAATGTAATCAACTCACCTCTTCCCGTGTAACCATCTTCCGATACTTTACATCTTCCGCCACTTTTTTGGTATAATTCAACACCTTCTTAAAACCACTGAGCTGAAAAACAACAAAAGAATATCAGTTTCTTCCTGTCACATGTGTAAGCATGGATCTTCGTTCACTTTATCTGGCACTCGAGTTATCTCGAGTTATCTGATGCTTGACTGCAGGTGTTGGGAACTTACATTTTGCAATTCAGATAATGGTTTCCACTGACAATGTAAGTGTGATTGGCCTTTCCATTTTATTAAAAACTCCATATCGCTCCAATTTGGTTCCGAGTCAAACAAATAGCTCAACAGCACAGGCTCAGTTGATTTATTTTCCTTTATAGCTTCGTCAGCAGTGCCCTTGGGTTGATGCCACAATACTTTCTCAATCGCATCCCCATCTTCCTCTTCAATCTCCTCCTTCTAGACACAAATGCCGTCAAATAATCAATAACAGCTGAAACTTAGAAACGAATGGATTAAACAATTATTCACCATATTCATTTACAACAATAAAAGAAAATAAATGGTAAAGTTACAGAATAACATCAAGCCTATGTTTGAGAAAAGAAAAATGAATTACAAGTGATACCATAAAATTGGTGATTGTAAAATTGTAAAGACAGAATAAATTAATTACAGCAACTACATCAAAAAGTACATTTTCAATTTTTTTCTCTAAAGACATAAATCAATCAACAAGGAAAAACATCATTTTTCTACTCCCAAGACTTCCCTCTCTCAATTCAAAACAAAAAATGATCAACATCAATAGAGAACCACCAACCATCCTCTTTTTTTTTTCCTTTGCTCCTATGAAGTATACGACAGTCAAATTAACTTTCAAGTGCAAACATGATTCAATGTAATTATTAATTGAAAAAATAAAGGTCAATATATAGTAAATCTTAGAAAATTTTCGAAACCCATTCATGAATTACAGTCCCTAAGATCTTAAAGAGGAAAGTAGGTAAAGTTCTTCCATTTAGGAGTACCCATAACTTCTCCAAAACCTTGAGAGATTCCTTCATCTATTGTCTCACTACAATACTCCGAATCATGGAGCCATTAAACATAATTCATGACACAAATAGCACCAAAGAACCATTGTGGCACAACACATGAACCAATGAGATAATAACAAAGGACACAAGGTGTTTTAAACTCGCGTATTTCAGACAATTTAAACTAGAAAATATTTCTATGTAAAAAAATAAAATAGGAAGAAGATGAAGAGAACACATGAATAAAACATATTCACGATTGGACCTGCATGCCATAACAAAATCAGAAGGAAAGGACAAAACTGCACCTTTTGGTTCTTTTTGCCTTCATCAATATCTTCACTTTCATCACTCTCAACATATGATACCTTCCGCACTGAACGACCTGAAGTTCGGAGTTCATTGTTCCAGCTAGAAACGTTCATAGAAGCAGATCGACCACCATTCTTCTTGCGGACCGGTCCACCTCTCCTTGTACTTCTAAATTCCTCATCACTACCATTTTCTGACTCAGCAGAAGATTCTTCTTCATCTTCCTCAAAAAAAGCTCTACCATTCTTTCGCCGAGTGGAAGATGCAATTGATTTGCGTTCCTTATTAGGCTTTAAATTACGACCAGTCCTACCTGATTGCTTTACCCTGCTCTTCTTAAAGTAGACATCGTCATCATCTGACACATCCAAATCATCATCATCAACATTATCCTCCTCGTCAGATCCTTCAGCATCCCAATCTTCATCTCTATCCTGCACGGTGTTATTATATTCACATACCACAACAAAAGGCAGACACTGAATCCCTAAAGGGAGCATGTGTCAACACAATAATATTAAATTAAAATAAAATTAAAATAAGATGTGAGACACAATAATAGAAAAACCTCAAAATTCAATATCAACCCTTACAACTAAGACCTCAACATCTCCTTTGCCCCCGTATAGAAAGGAAATGATTTACCATTCTGATTTAATTCTCTCTTTCATAAATATAAGTAACACAAGAGTACAAGATGCACTTACAAGGTTTATCTGTTTGAGATATGGGTAAGAGACTAAGAGTACTGGTGGAAGAACTTGTAGGAACGACACATACACACATAGAGGACAGGTATGGAAACTTCATACAAAATGGTGAAATACTATACTTCTAGTAACTGAAAATATAAAAATTTCACATGGAACAAGCAAGATACAAAATTCATGTTATCAATGGGCGAGGGGCAATAATTTGAGACCACCACCTATATTTAACAGAATTTGTAATGCAGGACAATGCACTCCCCTGAATTTCTGAACAAATTCATACCAAAAATATTTTATGACCTCAAAAACATCATGTTCATGTCGTTCTTTAAGCCTCATAAGGCAGCCTAAATCAAGTGTTGACTAATTTAACATTCAAATTCCAAATATACCCCCCATCCTCTATAAAAATACATCCAGATGATAGATGATTAGAGTAGAACTCGTCTCAAGCAAGCTTAAAGAGAGAAAATTCCCAACCCCCATTTATACACCATAAGAGCACACAGTTATTGATGTGGGACATACACAATTTCCAAAACCCACCCTCATGCTTTACGTGCCAAGCACAAAGTCGCCTCCAAACAGAAGGAAAAGAAAAAACTAGTGCTCTAATAGCATGACAAACTTTCAATGAATGTGCAGTGACTTATCAACATGGAAGAAACCAAAATTTTAATAATCCCACAATAATCCCACGTAGAGAAACATAAAATTTCAAATACATCTAGATGTTTTCGCATTTTAATGGTTCGAACTAGTACTATGTGAAGTTTTAATTTTCTATCATCCACGAAATAAACTTTTCAGTACCTAAACCCCATGCTCAGACACCTTATAAGTGGAAATGAAAGAACATAGTTTTAACAAACAATCCAAGTAAAAAACTGAAAAAAAAGTCCTAACCCAAAACTGCTACATATACACAAGCTAAATGCACTCAATCTTAACTAAGTATACGCAATGTGACATTTCATTGCATCTAGGCCAACAGTTGAAAGCTATAAAAGTGGAATCAAAAGAAAAACCTTGATTCCCTTGCTCCCGCTTCCCGCCCCACAATCAGGATCAAAGTCAGCATCATCCGGATCATCTTCTGCAAGCCAAAAAAAAAAATGTACTAAATTTGACACTAGACCATATCCCTTTTTATTTGTATGAAACAAAACTACACTGATAAGAAAACATTAACGAGGGTAGATGGAGAGTGGAGAGCAGAAAAGGAAGTCACCATCTTCTTCGTCATCATCTTCTTCAAAATCGGCATCTTCATCATGGTATCTGTTGGCTTTCAAACCCCTTGATTTCCTTGAGACACTACTTGGAGCAGCACGCTGAGTTGACTGCATCAAACTACAACTACTCGGTTGGTTTGTTGCCCTGAAATGATTCAAAGACTCATTCTGATCATCACCATCCTGCTCGTAATACTCATCAGATAACATATCCTCAGCCTGAACAATTCGACGTCCCCTCCCGACCATTTTTTGGCTTGTGTCATCATTTTCGGATTCTATCCTATCCTCTGCTCCATCAGAATCCTCTTCAGCTTCGGATCCTTCATATTCCGACCCACTCTTTGAGTCCTCCCCCAACTCTGAAGGCCCATGTGACGCCATTGCAGGCTGACTATCGGTCCAAAATGTTGAACCCCAGTTCCCCCGTGAAGGAGGTTGAGTAACCCTTAACCTTATATTGCCTTTATTATCATCTTCATTACTGTGACTATGTTCTGGCATTTCGTCATCGATTGCGTTAACATTATTCTTAAGTTGGCTGTTATTCATGATCAGCTGCTACGAGTGGCCTCTTTCGTTCAGTACAATCTGCTCTCCTGGTTAGTCCGAGAAATTTCTGAAAAAATGCCATGCCACACAATTTGTTTACAATTCCTAGAATTGGAAAGCTACCAACCTACTGAAGTACAAGTTACCTTAGAGATCCCTCCAAAATGCCTCAGCTGTTAGCACAGATCCTACACCATCAGTATGTTGGATAGACGTAAACATAGAGACCAGCTAAAATTTAAGTGACAAATCAGAAAGGATTTAATTTGTTTATTTTTTTCTCAGATGACCCATTAAATTGATATCAATGATCTAAAAATTCTACAGCAGTGAGTGGATCGGTAGTGTATGACTCAGAATTCACCATTAGAAAGCAACAAATTATCATTATCATTATTGTGATTAATATAAGATGTACCCTAAATCTAAATCCGGAAAAAAAACCCTAATCGAAATGAAAATGGATGTGTGTCAGCCGATTGCTCATCAATTCAATAAACTGACCTTGGCTTACAGAAAATGAAAGCGAGGGGAAAAAATCGCTAAATTCGGTCAAGGGTATTTCCGTAAATCGAGTGAGAAGGGCAGGTTTAAGCTCCCAAACCACCGGAGGACTGGTTAATAACGAGCGACCCACTCTGAAGCCCGGCGGCGGCGGGAAAAGATGGGTTTCAAAAACGATAGCGTTTGGGTCCGGCTTTGTGCACAAATTTTGATTTGATTTGGGAATTGTGAATTTGAAGCGCAATCGAACGAGGCAGGTAAAATCGGCGAATCGATAATTTAGATTTGGATTAATTACACCAGCGTTGTTGTCCGATGATGCATGCCTGGAGAGAATGGAAGGAAGAAAAAATGGTTTCTAGAAAGAGAAATTGTAGAGAGAGAGGGAGGGGGTGTGGGCATACGGGCGTGTATTTTCGAGAAAGGGATTATGAGAAGGGAAATTTTGATTTTTCTCCATTCGGAGACAAGGTAATTTATAAAATACAGATTGGAAGGTTATAACTTTTTTTTTTTTTTTAATAATNTCAATGGCAGGACGATATTGGTTAGTGTGTTCCTAGATGAATGTACTCTTTATGAAGTGTGATGTACTACTTGGATTATGGGAAGTAAGATCTATTGTTTTATTTGCGTGGGAGTAATGCCAATGTTCTAATAATACAAAATATAATAATAATAATGTACATAATTATACATATGAAACATATAGGGTGTTACTAAATACCGTCTCTCTTATTACTACGTACCGCTTCCTTCAACCGTTTTGTCTTTGGCATTTTTCCAAAAAACTCAAAACATCATAAATTCTCTGAAATTCCGACGATTTCCGGCGAAAACGAGCGACGACGAGGTACAAATTATAGCTGACTGCCCAGCGATTGCGGCTGCACACGGCGGCGGTCGGCCGACCACGTCAAATATTGGCTAACTCGTTAGCTTTCCTAGGATGGGAGCAAATAGTGTTGTCGTAGTCTTTCACCAGTTCCAATCATCTACTCTGCTCATGTCGGGCTCCTGCTGAGTGAAAGTGTACTTCAAGCTCTTGTGATATGTGAAATTCTCAAACTTTTCCCCGTAGAGGTAGTGGTACCAAATCTTCAAGGTGTGAACCACAACGGTTAGCTTCAAGTCATGCGTGGAATAATTCAACTCGTGTTGCTTCTACTGCCCCTATGCATTATTTTCCTTGTCGCATCAACACACCACCCAACCCTTGCTTAATGCTTAGGGCATTGTTAAACCCAAGGTAGGGTCAGGTATGGTCAGTCATAAGTAATGTTGCAAACTTTGTCTTCTTCTACTGGATGCTCTTCTCGTACTGAAAACGCCACTCGAACTTCACAGCCTTCATTGTCAAAAGAGACATAGGTAGGGCCATCTTCGAAAATCCCACGGCGAAATCTTCTGAATGTTGTCTTTGAGACATCGGGCTTTTTGATCTTCAACTAATGATGTCTGGACTCCAAGTCAATCTTGGAAAGTGTATTGGCTCCTTGCAACTGGTCAAACAAATTCTCGATTCTCGGAAGGGGTACTTACTTTACATCTTGAGCCAACTGAGCTCCTGGTAGTCGATGCACATCCTTGTCAGGCTATCCTTCTTCTTCATGAACAGAACTAGTGCACCCCACGACAAAAAGCTCGGTCAGATGAATCTGCAACTCAGCGACTCTTGGATCTGGGTCTTGAGTTCTTGCAACTCCTTTGGCGTCAGTCGATAAGGTGTGCTGGGTATTGTTCCTACTTCTGGTACCAAGTCGATTTTGAATTTCCATCACTCTTTCGCTGGATTTTCTGGAAACTGCTCTGGACTGACATCTGGGTACTCTTTCGCCATTGGAACTTCTTCAGGTGACGGCTCCTTCTTAGTGCTCTAGACAATGTTCACTAAGAACTCTTGGCGATCTTTTTCTTAGGCTCTTCTTCATCGTCGAGATAACTCGCGGTATGATCCTTACTTTTGTCTCTTAGATGTGATCATTTCTTCTTCTGACCAGTAAAGGTCACCTCACACTGAAAATATGTTCTTCACGACCCAGTTTCAAGCCTCTATGGTTTACCTGGATTTGTGGCTCTTATTTCTAGCCTCCATGGTTTACCTAGACTTGTGGCTCTTATACACTGGAAATCCGTTACTACATGTACTTGTTTGAAGGCACTTTGCCAAAACCAAAACGAGATAGCCTCTAGAGTCAAAACTCAAACTTAACTAGAGTTCAAAGGTCTTTCTCGGAGGGTAAGTCATAAGCCCCAAATTAATTTCATGTATGCAATAACGATCATGCTAAAATGACTTAGAATGTAGAATAATTACCTAGGAGTTGACATGGCACGAAGGAGGCAAGTGGTCATAACTTTCAAAAAAATTTAAATTTTTTCTAACTTTAAAATTTTAAGTCTATAGAGCCGTTGACTGGCTCTGATACCACCATGCAGCGCCCTTTTACTAAGTTTTCATAAATAATTTGAACTTTTTAATAACATTTAACTTATAAATTATTTCTAGGGCACTATGGTGAATTTCTTCTTCTAAAACTTTGTTGAATTACTTTTTTTTTTTTAACATACTTAAGCCTCTCACTTAAGTATTTATAGGAACTCCCTTCCCACATTTCAAACTTTAACATTAAGATAAGTCTAACTCAAACTTCATAAACATCTCAAGATTTTAAAAACAATATCCAAACCACATGATAAACGATTCATAACTCCTAGTAACAATTATCTTAACCTTCATCAAAACTGCGACCACTTCACCATCCGTGCCCGTCCACTCGATCATCTTGAATGAGGGAAATAATGAGGGGTGAGCAAAACACTAGCTCAGTGGGAAAACATACTACGCAGTTATTTAAGATACTAACAGATACCATAATAATAGCATGAACATGAATAAACAGATAGTCTCAACTGTATGCGCCGCTTGGGCAAATAACTGATCGCCCCGCTTGAGAAAATAATTGTCTCGCCCCGCTTGGGCAAATCTCTCCCCCCTTGGGCAAATATCTATCTCCCCCCGCTTTGGCTAATAATAAACTAAACTGGTCGCCCCACTTGGGAAAATTACTCACATAACATACTAAAACTATAATATCATGCGATTATAATGAATAAAACGTAGTATATAAACCCCACCTCAAATACGAATGATGAAATGCTGAAATCTCACTGAAATACTCGAGGGCTTGACTCCTCGAAATCTACAATTTAAGAGTTTATTTTCTAAAAAATAATATTTTTCCTTAATGAATTTATTAGAATAAGTTCTTGATTTAAATTGATCAATTAATTCACTTGATAAATTTCTTGAAATAAATTATTAATTAAATATTTACCTTTTCTAATTAATTTTTCTTAATTTCTAAGCTCGACTAAAGTCCAAAATGTTGGAGTATACCGTAGAAGCTCAACTTTAGTGATGGTTACTCCCAATTCCATTTCGAATGAGATGTGTGTCATGTTAGGTTCTGTTAGAAACGTCAACGACATGCATGTTTGAATTTGGCAAAATAAACCCTAACGCAGCGGAATCTATAATTAAGGTTAGGACATTGCCGTTTAAAATTTTTGCCGACTCTGAGACGTTTTTGATTTCCGTTGATGGAGATCGTCTGAACACCAGAGTCCTATGGTCTGGCGGACTTGGTCTTTCTCGATTCTAATCGAGTCGATGGATCAGGAACGGATTACCGGGACAAGGGCTCGTCGGGCTCGGGCTCGTCGGACGTTGATGGGTTCGGTCAGGTCGCGTCTGGGCTAGGTCGGACCTTAACTGGGAGCGACTGGTCTCGGATGGGCTCGCTGTAGCTTGGCGGCAGTGCATCTCGGTTGGTCGGGTACAGGTCGCGGTCGGGCATCTGCTGGTTCACACGGACAGGTGGACAGACGCGGGCAGGTGCACGGGATCCTCGGGCCCGTGCGGGTGCAGCTCTCCTGTGCCGACACGGATTGGCGCGCGAGCGTCTAGGACCACGCGGGCGTGCGATGTACGTATTCTATGCGTGCGTGGATTGAGGCCTCCGAGCCCTTCGGCCTCAATGCCGTTAAACTAAAAGCCGACGAGCTACTAGGCCTCCGATCCCTTCGGCCTCAATGCTGTTAAACTAAAAGCCGACGAGCTACTAGGCCTCCGAGCCCTTCGGTCGTAATGCCGTTAAACTAAAAGCCAACAAGCTACTGGGCCTCCATGCCCTTCGGCCGCAATGTCATTAAACTAAAAGCCGGCGAGCTACTAGGCCTCCGAGCCCTTCGTCTGCAATGCCGTTAAAATAAAAGCCGGTGAGCTATTAGGCCTCCGAGCCCTTCGGCCGCAATGTCATTAAACAAAAAACCGGCGAGACTAGGACTCCGAGCCCCTCGGCCACAATGCCGTGAAACTAAACACCGCCGAGCAAAAACCGCTGAGCTATTGGCCGCTGAGCCCCTGGGCCTCCGAGCCCTAAGGCCGAAATGCCCTAAAACTAAAAAGCTAAGACAATAAAAAAAAGTGGTTATAAACTTTTTAAGGAATTCCCGAACTCATATGTGAGTCAGGAAGACCTAGTGCCCATCTACTGAATACCTAGAGGTCGTTCGATAAGGCTATATGCCCAAAGCCCAAACACTTGAAAGTGTTTGGGAAGGCTAAGACAATGCCCAAAAATTAACCAAACCCCCATCGTGGTTTGGGTCGGCCTCGGCAAGGCACAGAACCTACCGGGGGTCGGCACTTCGGCAACGCACAGAACCTACTGAGAGAAAAGGCTGGCTGTCATAACCATCAACAAAAAAATCAAGCCCGAAAAAATAACGAGGTAACATTATTTATCACGCGTTAATTGTTTGTCGCACATGCTCATTATACATTCACTCATTCATCGATTCATTATACATTTATGCATTCATCACATACGCGCGTCATACATACATCTTGGCATGGAAAAAAGGGTTTCGAACCCCATCCAATTGAAAAAAGGCTCACGAGCCATAAGGCATAAGTGCAACTAAACTAATAAGGCCCAGTAGTGTCGACCATAATGAAGTCGTTAAAAACTATCACACGCGCCTCAAATCACAAAAACATTCAAAAGGGCCCAAACGCCTACATATCACCTGACTGAGTCATTAAGGCTCTTATTCAAAATTCAGCTCGCCCAAAGAGCATAACGTTTCCAAAATTTGACTCGCTCAATGAGCATCATGTCAAAGATCGGGCACCACGCCACCCGACTAAAAAATAACTAAATAAAAATAAGACCAAAGACCAGATACCAAGCTATTCGACCAGGTCCACATAAAATACTAAAACAATCACATAAATCATTTTTCGAGTCACCCCAATATGACAAAAAAACCGCAAATCGCCAAACAAATCATATCAGCAAGCATCTTCATAAAGATCGCTAAAAATTCAAAGGGCACGAGCGCTCGCACAAATTCATACCACTACTATCACTACAAAAACAAAATCAATCAAACACTTCGCATTGCACAAAACGCAAAAATGGGTACGAAATTACCCGACTAGGCCACTTAGGCCCCATTCAATAGCAATTCCAATGAATTGTCCATTCATTCCATTGACTCAACTCGTCAAAGAGCAGAAAGTCATGACTAATATAAGTACGCCAGGCCGAAGCCTAAAAATGATCAACAAAACGTCAAAGGGTCTTAAAGCACTCGGAAATTACATATCAACACATATCCATTCGGTAAACTCCAATAAGATAAAAAAGTGATCTTATATATCACATAAACATTATTTATCACGACATAAATATCCCCAAGGTCAAAAGATTATAAGCAAAAGTCCGCCAAATTGGCAAATAACGCTACTTTAGAATAGTTATATTCAGAACATGTCTAAACTGGGGGCTTCTTATTGATACCCAATTTGACAACGCTTAATAAAAATGCAACACATGCAAAATGAACAGGGGTTAAAATATGCAATAAATAAAGACACAAATAGCAGGTTCTCCCAACTCGTCATTCAAGATCGACCGAGTCCTCAAACGTCAAGAACGTCCACTCCCGTGCTGAGCAGAATTTAATATCATCAGCTCGACCTGGATACCAAAAAGAAGCCGTCTTCAGGGGACGTACATCTTCGCAAGACAGACGTCTATCAAAACATCAAGTGTCATAATATGGCCCCATGTAGTCACATTACATTAAATGTCCTTGTATTCAAAAATTGGTATCCACATGTTAGGCCTTATAAATATGGGCTCAATNAAAATTGATTTTCTTTATGATTTTTTTTAATGACCATTATTATATTTGTTGGAAGTAACTTTAACATATATAAGTTATCCAAAAATATATGAAATGCAAAGGTATGCAAAAATATATGAAATGCAAAGGTGCCTGTTTGTCTAGCATTGAAGCTAACCAACCAGCTGAAGTGGTCGACGATGTCCCAAGACATTTGTACAATTTTCTATTTTTTGTAGAACTCCTGATGCTCTTTTTTATTGTTGAATCTGTGTGGAGTACAACCACAAATGTTGACTATTTGGACCATACTGATAGTGAATAGGGAAAATGAAAACCCAAACATTTTTGCATTAATTGTTTAATTCGAATATGGGTCCTGCCAACCACAGGGGCACGTGCCCATGCGGGCTCCTATGTGGGTCCGTCCCTGTATATCTATATATATAAGAGAAAGAGAAGAGAGATCTCTTCCAAGAAATATGAAAAGAAAAGGATCATCTTCTTCATTTTTTTCATACAAAAAAATCAAGTGATATTTTGTGTTGATACAATTTTGTATATCAACAACACTACTCCTACATGATATTCTCTATGTACCCAGGATGTGAAGTTGTTTACTTTCAGTTGTTTCCTTGGTTTTCCTTTAATTTCAATACTAGTGGTTTGGACATTTTATATCATCACAATTTATTCGGACGTGGTAGTTTAAAGAATGGTTTCTTTGTTCTTCACTTGGATGAAAGTTATAATGACTCATCACATGTTTTTGCTTCATTTTATAATATTGATTATGAATCTGTTAAATGCCATGCGCAACTTGGTCATATTGGTCAAGATAGAATGTCCAAGCTAGCTAAAGAGGAACATTTGGGACAATTGACTAAGGTTAAATTGCCTATTCGAACCTTGTCTAACCGGAAAAGCTACTAAAAAGCCTTTTGGTAAGGCATCAAGAGCATCAAATCCTTTAGAGCTGTTTCATTCTGATATTTGTGGGCCTTCAAATATAAAAGCTCATCATGTGGCTACATATTTTATTACCTTTATAGATGACTATTCACGTTTTGGGTATGTGTACCTATTATATTATCAACAAGAATCACTTGATACGTTCAAACGTTTTGTGGCCGAAGTTAAAAACCAAAAAGAACGAAGAATTAAGACTCTTCATACAGACCGGGGACGTGAATACCTCTCTGATATGTTCAAAGAGTTTTGTGAGACTAAAGGTATTCCAAGGCAACTTACGGTTCCATATACTACTCAACAAAATGGTGTTGCTGAAAGAAAAAATCGTACATTACTGGACATGGTTAGGTCGATGATGGCGCAAGCCAATCTCCCTATTAATTTTTGGGGAGATATGTTGCTTACGGCAACATACATCCTTAATCGTGTACTGAGTAAAAGTGTGTTACTCACTCCATATGAGTTATGGAATGGAAAATCACCCATTTTGGGCCATTTATGCCCTTGGGGTTCGGCTGGCTATGTGCATAACCAAACTCACAAGTATTGAAAGCTTGGTCCAAGAACTATCAAAATGGTGTTTATTAGATACCTTAAATATTCAAAAGGGTATGTTATCTTTGGTGAACATCCCGATGGTGGAATGATTGAGTTGGACTCACTCAATATCCATAAGCTACTTGGAGTTAATCTTCGATCCAACAAATTTTTCCATACATTTTTAGTTATCATCTCCATTCCATTCACTGTGAAGCCATGTCCCAATCAGGCTAGAAAGACCTCTAGTCGCGGAGCAGCCCCAACCGCCGGCAGAACCAACGTGGTGCCGGACGCAACAGACTTTACCACCTTGTTCCAAAACCCAGAATTTGCCAAGGGTTTTTCTGCCCTTATGGCCAAGACCATGCTAGGAACTTCCAAAACAATGCCAGGATAGTCAATAGCACCAAAGACACCGGCGAAACAAGGCGTCCCACCACCCGGGGTGGAGGCGAAAGCGCAGCAGCCTCACACGCGACTTCTCAGCCACGTGACGACCTGCAACAGATGCAAATGGGGAAAATGGTGGTTCTACCGGCGACAAACTTCCCATAAATGACCGCTGAGAGTCACTCCGGGAGTCCCTGCAGTCCAACGACTGCCGCCCGGCCGTTATTCTAGCAGCTGGATAAACAAACCGACTTACGACACCAAATCGAAAAAAGCCGCTCTGCCAGACACAAAATTTAAGAATTCTTTAAATTAACTTGAGGATTATATAGTCTTAGAATCCAATCTCCTTAGAATTCTTTAAATTAACTTGAGGATTGTATATAGTTTAAGAATTCAATCTCATTACAATAACAACAAAATTAAACAAACACACAATTTATTTCAAAAAATTTCAATTCAATATATAAATAACAAAATAAATTGTTTATTATTTAAAAAAAATCTTATATTTTAAAAATTATTTAAATTATTTGTTGTACACCTACTGTATTCACGACATCAAAATAATATTTGTATTATTTAGAGAGAATCCTATATTTTATTAATTCTTTAAAGTAACTTGATAATTCTACATACTTTAATCATCCGATCTCTTTATATAATAACATTATTATCCAAACACATGTTTTATTTATACAAAAAAATTAGATTAATTATATATCTAACATCGTAATTAATACTTCATCACTTGCTAAGTGATATATAAAACATTAAAACTCATCATCTATAAAAAGATAATACATGAAAAATATAAATATTAAAATATTATTTATTAATATAAACAATTAACAAATTAATATATTGTTAAGATAAAATTTTAGTGAAAGTTTAAGAAACAAGCCGGCCGTGCATATACTCACTAGTTTGACATATAACTTTGGACGGACACATTACCACTTAACTGACGTGTAACAACTACTCATATACGATTTCTGGACTCTCTTAAAGCACGACATCAGTTGTGAACCAGATAGATAAGATAGATAATATACCACAACGATAAGAAAACTTAACAGGTAGCGAAAATTCCACACTTCTCTCTCAAGGTTTGATGGTTATTCTGCAATGGTGCTATGCAATCAAGTCCTTCCATCACCTTCACCATCAAATTCCCTCACAAGTTTCGCGTCGCTGAAGCCATTGAGCCCGCTTCTCGTTCTTTCCCGTTCTTTGAGACGAAAAAGCGAATCTTTACGCCAGAGAAGTGGTATGCTGAGAGTGGAAGCCACTGTGACTCTTGATTCGAGCAATGGAGCTGTGGGCGTGGCGCCATCGAAAGAGGATGAAATTTTTTCCACCACTCCTTATGGAAGACAATTCTTCCCTTTAGCTGCTGTTGTTGGCCAGGTTTCAGCCCTCTTTTCCATTTTGTGTGTGTGTGAAATGTGTGTGCTTGTGTGTGTGTTTTAAGTAAATTTGGTGGTCTCTGGTTCGTGAATGGGTTGAGGTATAGCTTCACTACGGTCCGCGGAGCCTGGTTTAGTTTAGGAGATGTATGTGTGTGTGAGGGCGCGCGAATATTTATGGTGGGTCTTGGACTGTTTGTTAGAACAGAGGTGTTATTTTATGATGGTGTGTGGTAAGTATACGATTAAACTATTTTGGCCTTTTAAATGTTAATGTTAACTGGCGATTATTTGAAAATACTCTGAGAATTTAAGTTTGCCTTTGTTAAGTGACTTAGTGCCAACAGTGAGCTGATATTGTATTTATCCTCAAGTGCTGAACCTTCTAGCTTTTAGAGAAAATATTGAATTAGTAGATGAAAAAGGTATTGAAGAGACATTTTTTTTTTTTTCCATTTCCCTTTAACCCAGAATGTAATATTTTTTAAACACGATAACTTAGGCATCACTATTGTGTAAATACCACATTTTCCGCTTGAGATTTACTTTGGAGATTACTGGTGTGAACTTATTTTCCATCAACCTTTTGGATACCTGCTGTTTCGAATTTGTTTATGAACGGGAATGCTTTTTGTCGTACAGGATGCTATTAAAACTGCTCTTTTACTTGGGGCAATAGACCGTGAGATTGGAGGAATAGCAATCTCTGGAAAACGAGGAACAGCAAAAACAGTGATGGCTCGTGGCTTGCATGCAATTCTCCCGCCTATTGAAGTGGTTTCCGGATCAATTGCAAATGCCGACCCGTCAAACCCCGAAGAGTAAGGTCCACCAAATTTTTTACATTTGAATGTATTTATGTAGAAAATAAATATATGGCTTATTGTATCCATATTTGGTATTTGTGTAGAAGGTATTGCTAAATTTGACTTACCTTTTCCATTTCCTTGGCTTGTGATGCTGCAAACTTCAGAGGTTTATTTCTTTTAATCATGAACATGCTTTATCAAGTTCATCTAAATCCTGGCAAAATTTTCATATGAGGTGTCTTGAAAAATTATCGTATTTGTGAGTATTGTAAAATGGACGGATATCTGCCATCTATTAGGAGGTGCAATGCAAATCATAAGCAAGTATGTGTGCCCAAATAGTTGGAAGAATTGCAGAAAGAGCTACTCTTTTCATATATTTGTGATGAGTAGTCAAAGAAAATTGGAAATTCTGACTATGCTCTCTGTTTATTACATTATTTGATGTTTATCACTCTTGAAGGTGGGAAGATGGTCTTGCTGGTCGAGTGGAGTATGACTCTGATGGGAATATAAAAACCCAAATAGTCAAGTCACCATTTGTTCAGGTAATCGCTGATGAACAAATCTTTATTGTTAGAAATTCACTTTCTTTATGACGTACGCTTCCCCATTTTGCAGATTCCACTTGGTGTCACAGAGGATAGACTAATTGGGTCTGTTGATGTTGAGGAGTCCATAAAATCCGGAACCACCGTTTTTCAGCCAGGCCTTCTTGCGGAGGCACACAGAGGGGTTTTGTATGTTGATGAAATTAATCTTTTGGATGAAGGCATTAGCAATTTGCTTCTCAATGTCTTGACTGAAGGCGTGAATATTGTGGAGAGAGAAGGCATAAGCTTTCGACACCCGTGCAAACCGCTTCTAATTGCTACTTATAATCCTGAAGAGGGTGCCGTCCGGGAACATCTTCTGGACCGCATTGCAATAAATTTGAGGTAAGAGTGGTTGTCAACTTTCTGGAGAAAGAAACGGCAGGAGCTGAATAAGCCTGATATGTGTTCTGTTTTCAATTGTATATTATCCAATCTAGTCCGACTTCCTTCACGAAATTGTTATTTTTCTGAAATTATTTTAGGTATACATTTGTTGTCCGACACCAGAATTTTCTTAATTTATTAATTATTTATTTTTGAATATCTTTTTAGCATTTTAGGTATTGCTATTTTTATTCTTTAGCGACACCGTTCTTATGCAGTGCAGATCTTCCTATGAGTTTTGAAGATCGTGTTGCAGCAGTTGAGATTGCAACTCAGTTTCAAGAACAAAGTAGAGAAGTTGTTAAAATGGTTGAGGAGGAGATGGATGTTGCTAAGACTCAGGTAGTGTTGGTTATGGAATAATGTTCTTGATATCCAAATTTACTAGGTACAATTCTATTTCCAGAAGTGAAGATAGAGGCTGCTGTGATTTAAAGTAATGATTTATTAGATTGATGGAGATAGTGTGAAAGTACGGTCATGACCTTAAGAAACAGTTATTTTGACTTTCAGATCCAGTTAGATTCAATTTTATGTGATAGTTTGTTTTAGGCAACATGTGTAATAATGAATTAAGCTAGATTCATGATGAATGTCTTGTGCAGCTATGACTATATACCATGCTTCTCATGTCATCTGTATGCTCCAAATAGGAATTAGGCTCAAGCTGCATTTGATACTTGTTTTGCAAATTTTTTTTTTTTTTTTTTTTTTTTATAATTAAAATATTTATCTCATAAACATTTAATTATCTTGCTTATCTCATAAGCAATAACAAATCAAAATCTGTTTTAAAGACGATAACCGTGGCTCTGATACCACTGTTGGGTTCGCTAGTACAGTACGGGCTGTAAGCAGCGGAATTTAAAATTTTTAAAGTAAGTATTTATTGTATAAATACAACACCCGTACATACTAATTGCGAATTAACTGATCGTCATCTTTAAAACATGCATCATATACAAATTTTGATTTGTTATATTAAAATAAATACCAGTAGAAATATTTACCGAGTGTCTTGAACTCCTTCAACAAAGATGTGGATTGTGGGAATCGGTTCCCGGTTGTAACTTCAACGGCTTGAGGTTACTCGCTTTAGGAATCCAAGTGTCTTCCCTCTAATCGTATCCACCCTATGAATCCCGGTTCCGATTACCTTCCTTCGCTAGTAGGAATGTCTCGGTTTTCTTGTATAGGAATATATATATAGATATAATTTGGGAATTTCAAAGAACACTTTCTTGAAATATATGAAGAACACTTTCTTCTCTCTTTGATTTTCTCTCAAAATCACTTAGCCATGTTTGCAAACATTTTGCATCTATTTATACTAAACATTTTAGCATAAAATAATCAATATTTAGTAATATTTAAATAAAATCACATTTTATTTAAATAGTATTTACTAACTATTGACTTTGAAAATAATAAGATATGTTTGGTTGTTCATAACCACCATTACCCACCATCTATTATAATCATATTTATTATTTTAATCCTTAAATCATATTTAAAGATATAAATTTCATTTTCTTTATTCTCTGTGGTCGTCTTTTCTTTTCTGTTTTTTTCTTGGATATTTTCTTTATTCTTTGTGGTCATCTTTTCTTTTCTGTTTTCTTTCTTGGATAATTTGGCCAAACCTCTAGGGTAGTTCTTTAACTGCCCCTTATAACTAATGATACAGGTGGAATTAGTCATTCTTCCACGGTCAATCATTAGCGAAAGACCACCCGACCAGCAAAACCAGCAGCCTCCTCCACCTCCGCCTCCGCAAAATCAAGATTCTTCAGAAGAACAAAATGACGAGGAAGATCAAGAGGTTTCACACTAGTGCCCAATACCAAAATAAATAAATGAAATAGAACACTGCTTATTGAAGAAATGACCTCCATTTTGTGATAACAGGATGAGAATGACGAGGAAAACGAACAAGAGCAGGAACAAATACCCGAAGAGTTCATATTTGATGCAGAAGGCGGACTCATGGATGAGAAGCTCCTCTTCTTTGCACAACAGGCACAACGCCGGCGTGGGAAAGCTGGGAGGGCCAAGAATGTGATTTTTTCCGAGGATAGAGGCCGCTATATCAAGCCTATGCTTCCCAAGGTTGGATTCCTTCTGGGTTTCTATCTTCTCACAGCTTACTCATGCTGTTTTTGCACTTTCGGTGTCTGAAGAATGGTGGAAAACTCCGGAAATCACCTCAGCTAAAATTGTCCACTAGTGTTCCTTTATTAGTTTTGTAAGATAGTTACGAAACTTATCCCTGAGATTTGGAGGAAGTCCAAAAAAGACCCACAAGAGTTACAATGTTCTATTTTTTTA